TGCTATATCTTATATCAAGGGATTAATATTTTCTAAGTTGAATACTCTTTAAGATAAACTGTGAAAGTCTGAAATAACTTTCCCAGAAGAAATGCAAGATAAGCAAATAAAATGAATCACTTTCATAATCTGTTAGAAAAGGATTCTGCTTATGGTCAGTATTTCATCTATTTTTGTTTTGTTCAATGTGGTAAATTTTACTTGATTTGAAGTATATTTCAAGAAATACAGGATCATAATGCACTACTAAAGTGAAAACTGTTGAGTTGCCACCGCTTTTAAAACTTGCGGTTTTAATCACATTGAAGACAAAAACAGCTAATTCATCTAACTAGGAATACTAGTTTTTTTTTCTTTTGTTAATAGCCATTATGAAACAAATATTATTTACTATAAAAGATCAATAAAATGTTGAAAAAACCTAAACACTTAATAGGTGCCCTTTGTAAATTTGATAAGTAGCTTTAATCAGTATATCAGTAATATTAAGAATTACAAAAAAAAAAAAAAAAAAAAAAAAAAAAAAAAGAATTACTACACAATTTAACATATAAGTGTCCACATGCCATAACAGTTAATACAAACTGAATTTGAATTTTCTTTAAGGGAAGATAAAAGCCTTATTGTTTTGTATTTTTCACTGAAAACACAGAAGAGTAAACTTTACATATGAAATAATCCCAAATTTATAAATAAAGATATCTTTAAGAGTGGAAAAGACTTAAAAAGTTTGATTGTAAAGTTCACTAAACGTCTATATGACAATTTCAAGTCAGTCAATTCTAGCCACAGACTCCAGCAACATCATGAAGAAAGTGAGAGTTCTGGACCTATATACTATTACCTTCAGTGTGATGTAGGATTCCACTGATGTAATGCAATAAAACAGGAGTAGACTGAGTTCTCTTTTTGCTTAAGATTTAGCCATGTAGTTTTTAAACTACAATGGCTAAAGAGACAAGCAACGTTAGTAGGATCAGAGTCATTCAATTAATGACCTAAAAATATTTATATTTATTAAGCAAAACCATGCACCAAACACTTTCCTAGGCATATCTGTATAAACTATGCTATCTAATTAAGCAAGTGTATTACAGTTCTGGACAAGTCTCTCCAAAATGTGCTATTTTGCTATGTGAGCTGTTTTGAACTAAAGGCAATTAACCATAAAGCAGACTACAGAGAAACTTTCACCTCTCCCTTGACTGGCTAAAAGAATGTTGATAGGGGAGTTGGTCCAGAAAGAGAACTAGTACAGGGATAACTTTTTAACTGAATGACCTATTTGAATGGCATGGCAAACATCTAATTAGCAAGCAATGTTCTTATCATCCAGTGAACTACTCTCCTCCCTTTTAGAACCCCAGGCCCTATATCAATCCTAGCTCAAGAGGGCATATAAACCTCAACCATCCAAACTGTCTTTTGGTCTCATATCTTTAAGGGTCATGCAGGTCCCTAAGAAACTGAAAATTGTAAAGCCAATAATCTAATACACAGATTTGCTAACTGATAAGTGACATGTAAAATACACTGCCTTAAAACCATCTAACATCAGACCCTCCCTGGTGGCGCAGCAGATTGGAGCGCTGCACTGTGAAGCTAAGCCAAGCTGTGACCACTTCAGTGCAAGTTTGATCTCTGGCCCCAGGTGACCCACATGGTGCAGCAGACCTCTCCTATCTCGGCTGCTGCTCCCCTCAGCTGTGTACTTTGTCCATCTGCCTGTTCTGCTCCCCACTGTTTCTGGGAGTCCTCTCGCTGTCCCTGCATCTCTGGCTGTACCCCATTTCTGTATGTATAAATAAATAAATCTTAAAAAAAAATCTAAAATTCCCAAATTATGGCTTTGAAGTAAAGAGTGACCCAAATAATCTTTACAAGAAAGATTAAATTCATCAAAACAAAAATAATCAATAATCCAGTAACTAGGAAATGACCAGGTTTTCTTGAGGTTAGTGACAATTACAGGACACACTACTCTAGGAGAAGAGTGTCAACAGCAGAGTAGCGAGTGGAAGGACTGAGGAGTTGTAATAGTAAACAGGAGTTGAGCCTTTGTATTAAAGAGTGACTTCAGGGGTTCATCAACGGTTGCTAAATCTAGGGATGGCCTCAGAATACCTCCATAAGCAGATTATTGAGGGAGAGAAAATGGACAACCCTTTGAGGAAAATAACATCCTAAAGAGAGCATCCAGTGCCTTTGGATGCAACAGTATGAAAAGACACATCTTCTATGGTAGTATTGTGACCAGTATATAACATGAATCTAAACATATGAGAGAACACATAAAACATGAGCAAACCCAAACAAAGACCTTACACACACAACCTATTCCTTAGATAAGAAGAGATTAAAAAGATATGACCACTAACTGCAATATATGATCCTGGATTGGATGCTCTACTAAAGGGGAAAAAATACTAAAACAAAAGGAAAAGGAAAAGGAAACATATTTATGGGGACAAATAATGACACTGGATTAGGCTGTGGGATTTTACTGATGCTAAATTTTCTGGTAATAACAGTGCTGTGGTTGTGTAAGAAAATATTCCTGTCATCTAAAAATACACACCAAGTTATTAAGAGTAAAGGGAAATAATGTTCACAACCTACTCTCCAAAGGTTGAGGAAACATAATGAGTATGAAATAGTGACTGAGTGTGTATGTGGTTGTGTGTGTAAGGGAACAGGGGGATATGTGTGGTTAGAAAGAGCAAGAGAAAGAACAAAGAAAGCAATATAGCTAAATTTTCTTATTGGTGAATGTGCATAAAATGTAGTCCTCTGTACTAGTGTAGCTTTTTTGTGAACTTGAAACCATTTCAAAGTAAATCACCAAAAACTAAAGCAGAGAAACAGGGTATGCTTTAAAGTCTTTTACATAAATCTTGATATTTAGATTTTTAAAAAGGGCAAGTGATAAAACCATTTTATAAATGACAGAGTGTAGGCTCGAGTGTAAGTGACCCACTTCCAGAACAGGGGTCTTCTTGTTTCTGTATGTTCCCATTAAGTTGCAGTTCAGTTACCAAAATGTTTCTAATTCCTGGAAGCTTCAAGGTCTCACACTGTCTGTAACTACTATTCTTTAAACTTTTAGTGAGTTGTAGGCATCCTCTAATAAGAGCCTCATAAACCCTCCTTGGTGATACAGCAGATTGGGCCGCAGTGCTGGGAAGCTGGACTTGGCCTCTTCACATGGTGCCACAGGACATGGCAGACCTCTCCTGACCTGCCTGCTGCTCCCTTCTCTGTCTCAGGTGAATTCTCTCACAGTCCCTGCACCTCTGGCCTGTACCCCAGTTCTGTATGCATAAATAAACAAAATATTTTAAAAAAAAATTAGAGCATCATAAATGTTTTCAAGTAGTAAGCAGTGTATCAAATTATTTCAGAGAAGAGACGTTAAAATTGGAATGCCTGAGTTCAAATCCACATAGTGCACTGTTCTAGCTTTGTGATCTTGGGTCAAGAAAAACTCTGCTCCCATTTTTGCATTAATAAGTAAATGAAATCAGGTAGCAAAACTGTCAGGGCTGAATGATAAGGCAAACAGTATAAAGTACTGTATACAAATACATAAGAACAAAATGTTGGCTATTATTCTTTCAAATCCAACTAACTCAGTCGCCTCTACAGCTGGTCACAGTCAAACACATGCGGTTTTTTTTTTTTTTCCAAAAGCAGACCCAAATCTAATAAAATAAAACAACAGAGGCTCTAAGAGCCTCTCTTAGATGTTCACCAACCACACAAATAAATTGTATGCAAATCACATGCAAAACAGGCAGATGCAGATTTAAAGATTAATTCAGTCGTTGAAATATTTGGAGGAAAGACTGAGTTGCAACAAGCTCCCTGTCAAAATAATCCATCATCTAAATGCACAGAAAGAGAAATAAAAAGAAACTATTCACCTTCAAACTTTGCTAACCTAGGAACAAGGAAAGTAAAAAAGAAAGTGCATTCCTATGCTGAATATAAATCTGCAGTCAGCTCAAAAATCAAAATGTAATCCCAATTTCAAAGACAAGTACTTTTCAGACTGTCCCATCTTGTCAGTAACATTCAAATTAAAGTTTAACCACACCCTTCTAACATCTGTAGTCACCAAGACAACTACATTACCTTAATTTAGTATAAATCCAGTAACAGCCTATTATGAATCCAGTGGCCATAGTGAGTAGCAGAGATTAAAATTTTTTTAAATGTAAAAATGGTAACAATCAAGATTCTGTAAATGTAAACACATCTTCCCCCCCAAAAAAGTTGGGATGGTAGTAGGTTTTTTTTGTTTTGTTTTGTTTTTACCATTTCTCAATGGTGTTTAAAACATTCTTACTGACTTTTTTAAAAAAAACTACTAAGTGTACAGTGTTTTACAGCTAATCTTAAAAGCCACACCATCCATTTGCAGACGTTTAGTAACATTCTAAATATTCTCTCCTCACATACTTATTTTGCTTGGGATTGGGGTTTTTTGGGTCTGTAGTGCAAAGGATATCCAAGAATCATTAATGTGTCCTCATTCATAAAACGCCTAGAAACCTCCATGTTCCTACATTCCTGGGTCACTCTTGGGTCTCAGGAGTAACACTCCCCCTCAACACCGCAAACACTCTCTTCACCCTATATTAGGTGAATTTCTCCATGTTCGATGCAGGAAATATTAAATTAGCTAGCTAGAGATGTTGGTTCACAATTCTGGACCTGTGTCCCACTCCAAACCAACTCAACAGTCTTTGGAAATGGGACCTAAACTCTCCAAATGGCTCTTTTCCACTAAAGTTTGAATACTAAGGACTTGTACACGCACCCCAAACTCGCCAAGAACTCTCCCCACTACCAACTGACCTACACCACCCACCTTCAGGAAACGTTACCGCCGGCTTCCCGGTCCAGCGCTAACGACCCCACCCCTCTCCCAAGAGCCGACTTCTCCTAGATTCCCAGTTCCGCAGTCCCGTCCCCGCACCCCAAGCCTTTCTCCTCACTTCTTCATATCGCTGCTAAAGAGGCCGAAGGCGCCGGAGGGGGAAATGGTTGAGGTAGCCTCCTGTCCCAGCTCCGTCGCCTCCCCTCCTCCGGACTGCTCATTGTAAGCGAAGCTGTTGCTGGACATTGCTGAGGTGCTGGCGGGTATCGGGTGGGTCTGGCCCGGGTTCTCTCCGAAGGGCTCCTGCCCGGAGGACACGGAACAAAACTAGTTCTCGTGTGGAGGGGCGCGCGCAGGCGCTTCCGGACTCGTCACGGCTCCCTAAGTCGACCTGGCGATCCACCCCCTGCGCATGCCCAGTGTGCAGGATCTCCGGAGCCCACCGCCGGCCGCTCCAGGGTCCGGCTGGATTTCTCTTCTCCGGGTTTTCGAGGTAGCCGTAAGATTCGGACCCTAGTTGTGAGACCCGGTTGTGCAAAATCTGAATTCTGATTTCTCAGAGTTTTTATTGAAGAAAAGTATCAGTTGAATCCATTTTGATCCCTAAGGAGGGATCACTTCTTTGCGCTGCTTCTGCTGGAAACCAGTGGTGTTACAGGACAGAGAGAGAGAGAGACAGTGGCTTTCAGATTTCTCCTAAAACGCCATTTAACACCACAGGAGCAACTTTGCTCAGCCACCAAGATCATTTTTGGTTTTTTAGGCTGATTTTGCGCCTCTTCCTCCAACCAAAGTTGCATTACTTTCATATTGGCCTCCAAGCAAACTTTGTCCTTGACCTCTTCACTTTAAGAAAACTTGTTTTAAGGCACTTTTGTGGATCCCTCCCAGAAGTGACAATTACAGGGCAAGTTTTCAAAAATCTGGCACCAATAGTTCCCAGGAACTAAAACAGAGAGCTTCCTACTGACCTCTGACTACCAAAAAATTAAATAAAATGAGCCATTTCATGTGCCAAGAGTAGCTTACCATCTGGATATCTCCTTTCCTATTTTCCCGCTGATGATTTACTGGAGTCTACTGAGGACCAAGGAGGAATATTGTCTGGCTAAAAAGTAGCTCCTAAGATGCCCTCCCTCGTGGCCAAGCACTGCTAGCAAGCCCAGGCCCCTTCAGAGCGAGCCTCCCAGCCTCCGAAGCCCCGGAGATGATCCACTTTGGGCAGACTCTCCTGTGTAGCCTGCCGCTCCCCTCAGCAGTGTACTTTGTCGATCTGCCTGTTGTGCTCCATACTCTGTCTCTGGTGAATCCTCTTACCACCCCTGCACCTCTGGCCTGTACCCCAGTCTGTATGCATAAATAAATAAATCTAAAAATAAAAAAGAATAGTGCCTAAGAAAGCCTCTTCCCCTACTACTTTTGTTACAGGGCAGGGTGAGGGACAATACAGAATCCCCCAAACTTGCCCATTCTAAATAGGTTCTGCCATCTGGTGCCCAAGACAAAATATACCTGAGTGCCTAAGAGCTTTAATGGAAAAGAATTTAATACAATTAGTACACAATAAGAAAAAGGAAAGAATAAAGTTTCCAAATCAAGCGGGTGAAGTTACCCATCTTTTGGTGGGTAAATGCACAAACAGGGGTGTGCCCAAAGCAGAGCCACTGAAGCCCAAAAGTTTGCCAACAATCTAAGGCACCTTCTGGTAAGTACCATAGAAAAGGGGCACAGGGGCCCCAGCACTCTAGGAGGAAGGAAGTAAAATCAAGATAAACACTGCCATTGTTAACCTCTCCATGGCTCTTTCACCCATTTCTGTTTCAACCAGTCCAGAACCTAGAAGCAAGCACAGTTTCTTCACATGTCTCTCTGCTCCATGTGCTCCTCCAGGTCTCCTGAATCTCCATCCTTCTTCCTGCCTCTGCAGTCTCCTCTCTAGCTTCTCCTCTGCCTGCTCAGCTCCACCCTCTTGGCTGGGGCAGGAAACCTAGAATCTCTCCTTTTCCTGGGGACCATCCTGTTACAATCCCCCCTTTTAATTTTTATTCCGTCATACCTATGGTGGCACAGATCTTGGGGTGTAACCTTAAGAGAAAGTCTTTTCCGGCATTGTCCAGTGTAGCCAAAGTCCTCCATTTCTGGAAAATAGTCCATCAGTCCAAGTCAAAAGAAAAAAAACCTGGAGACATTAGCCCAAACAAAACAGCAAATATAACAGAATTACAGGAAATCAAATCTTAAACTTGCTCAACTTACCTAAATTTTTCTGGGGACCACCCTCTTACCCTTTCTCATCTAGGCAAGTGTTGAAACGTAGAGCCCAGAACCCAGAAAGTATAAGGGGACTAGTGAAACACGACCTGGGAGTGCATTACAAAGTCCACTGTGAAAACAACAATGAAATGATCACTACACATCTGTAAAATGGTCAATATCCAGACCACTACCAGCACCAAATACTGGTGAGAGATTGAGGAGCTACAGGATCTTTCACATTGATTGTTGGTAGCTTTGCAAAATGGTACAACACTTTGCAATGTAGTTGGGTTTCTTACAAAATTAAGTATATCTTACCATCTGATTTGGAAATAGTGCTCCTAGGTGTTTACAAAAAAAGAGATAAAAACTTAATTCCTATAAAAACCTGCACGTTAATATTTATAGGAGCTTTATTCACAATTGCCAATATCAAGATGTCCTTCAGTGAGTGGATGAGTAGATGAGTAAACTGTGATACATCCATCTAGACAATGGAATATTATTCAGCATTTTTTAAAAAAAGGTGAGAAGCCATGAAAATACATGAAAGAATCTTAAAATCATATTACATTTTAAAGCAGTGAAAATACTCTGATACAATAACGATGGCTATCCATTTGTCCAAATACACAGAATACCTAACACCAAAGTGAACATAATGTAAACTGTGGACCGCAGATGAACCACCCTAGGTTCATCAGGTATAACAAATGTACCACTTGGGTAAGACATGTAGAGAGTGGGGAAAGGTGCATGTGGAGTGGGCAAATATGGGAAATGTCTCCTCCGTATTATCCATTTGGCTGTGAACTTCAAACTGCTCCAAATAAATTATTTTAATAAAAACTTAATTTAAAAAAGAACTCTGTTTCTGTGGAAACAAACATGACTGAGCTTCTAGGAGGGAAAAGAAGAACATTCTCCAAAATGTCTTCTGGTCAAAGTTTAGTGGGTTTTTACTCAACTGTTAGAATATTCCTCCAGATGCAATGATGGCACATCTAAAGTGCTCTCTTTAGTAATCTTGAAGGTAATAATTGACTTATAGAACTTCACGCATGGGCAATTTTTCTCAATGATTATAGATACTTAATAGATGACTTCATAGATGTACCAGGCACATAAGTGATTTTTACACATATTAATTCATTTAATGCTAAACAAGTTAGACTTTGTATTCCTTGAGTAAAATGAGGGCATTCATATCTACATATGCTAGAGAATCTCTGGCATGTGTAGCTGGGTGCAGAATTTCTTAGTTGTATATCATGTGCACCCTCACTAAACATCCTACATTGTTATCCAGTGTAATAGCAGTACACCTCCCAAACAGTGTATGAGATCTTTTCTCACATTCTCACCAATACTTTATTTTCTAAATTTTTTTATTGTCATCATTATGATAGGTGGAATACCATTTCATTGTAATTATCACTCATGGTAATAATGAACTTAATCATCTTTTTATGATTATTGTTCCAACAAATTCAGAAAACGAGCAAATATGCCTATTTATATCACTACCATTTAACACTGCTGCATAAATCCTAGCTAATACAATAGGATAAGAAAAACAAATAGTGGGAAATAAAAGATTATAATAATTATAGATAACATGATTGTCTTCCAGGAAAATCTGAAAGAAAATCATTAGATGTTTAAACTGATTTCAAAATTCAATAACATTCCTACATACCAGTAATTAGAAAATATAATTAAAAAGGGTTTTTCGGCCCTCCCTGGTGGCGCAGCGGGTTAAAGCACAGCACTGAGAAACTAAAGCCACTTCCGCATGATTTCGATCCCCACCTGCCCCAGAGGTGACCACATGGTGCCGCAGACCTCTCCTGACCCGCCCGCTGCTCCCCTCAGCACGGTACTTCGTCGATCTGCCTGTTCTACTCCCCACTCTGTCTCTGGTGAAGCCTCTCGCTGCCCCTGAGCCTCTGGCCTGTACCCCAGTTCTGTATACACAAATAAATAAATCTTCAAAAAAAAAAAAAGTGTTTTTCTACAATAACAACAAATAAGCCTTTAGCGATAAAATAGTCTTAAGCATTATGTGTGGCCTCAAGAGACAGCAGCATTGGAAGCAGCGTGAAAGAGGGGAAAGATTATTCCAAGTCCATTTAGATCAACGAGAAACCCAGAGCCAGAAGCCCAGAGCGGCTCCACTGGAAGCTATGTGCAGCCCCCACCCAAAGGTGCCTCCTATCCGTAACACTGAGCACAAAGGTGGGTCAAGTACAGAGGGAGTGTAGATGCAGGCACTATGGGATTAGGGATGCATGCTAGGGAAAATTACCAGGGATTATTGCCTGGGGGCTTCGATATCCCTACCAGTGTAAGCATGTTATTTCTGTTCTAATATCTGCCTGCTGTTTTCAGCCATGCTGGTTTCCTCATACCAGGACTTTTACCCCTGGTCAGAGGTCCCCTGCCTGATTCTACACCTTGCTGACAAGCAGGAACTCTGGGCACCCAGACCATATCCCCTAAAAAAAGGGGGGTTGAGGAATCCACAATTATGCAAGAGCTAAGTGAAGAAAAACTATAAAATTTTATTGTGTAAATAGTATTTGAATACTTTAAAGCAGTAACAATCAAAAATAATTTTTGTAAATAGGTAAATTGAATTTCAAGTTTACCTGGAAGAGTAAATGCAGCTTAAAGGAAGAAATTTTTAATTTTTTGAGGTATAGCATAATGAATTACTTGCCCAACAATTCATTTCAATGTACTATAAAGGTTATCATAATTTAAAAGTCTGGTTTTGTATCAAGAGTAAAAAGATTGAATTGGTAGAATAGAAACATATTCAACTAGATGGAAATATTGACAGTACACAATTAACTTATCATATGTCAAAAAATAGAGTGAGGTCTCTATTATTTCTGATGTATGCTGTAACATATTGCCACAAATGTACTGGCTTAAAACAACACAAATTTATTCTCTTTCAGAGGTGGAGTACAGAAGTCCAAAGCCAATCAATATATACTACCTAAGGTAGTGAACGGCCATGCCTTCCAGAGACTTTAGGGAAAAAGCACTTTCTTGTCATTTCTAGTTTCTAGAGATACATTCCTTGG